TGGTGGTGGGGGGGGGGTGCAGCAATTAATGCCCCCCACTAGCTTGGCTGTGCCTGGTGGGTCCCCTGGGTTAGACAGCCCTCTCCCAGTGCTGGCATCTATGCAGAGTCCCATTTCCTCCTTTATGCAAGCGAGGCCGGCTCCAAAGCCCTCAGCCCTGGTCTCTGCACCCGCTGTCCTAGTTGCTCCAACACCCACCTCCCTCCTCTTGAGATCCCCAGGACTCCAGTCTGAGGGGGATGCTGTCTTGCAGGATGTTCAGCTGGGCTTCAGAAGCCCTTTTCCAGGAGCCAGGCTTTGAGCTGCTGATCAAAGTAGCCCTTGACCCGAAGGGTACCTGTCACCTCATTGACCTGGGTGACAGGTGTCTTCCCCAGAAGTGGGCTCAGGAAATCTTCCACATCCTTCTGCAGGGCCTAAGGAAAGATGACAATCAGGCCTGGTCAGACCTTCCCCTCTAGAAGGCTCCCACCCTTTCAGCCCTGATAGGGTCAGAATTGGACCCTGAACTACCCACCCTCTTACCCAAATGTCCCCCTCCACCTTCCGGATTACAGTCATCTGACGGTTGCCATGTGTGATGTCCTTGTAGACAGGGATGTTATGCATCCGAGAACGCCGCACAAAGTAGGGCAAGTTGGGTGGGAGGTCTGTGACAAGGAGTGAAGGTGGTAAGTCCCATGTTCCTTAGATTTGTCTCACTCACCTCAGCCCAGCTGTGTAGAGGTCAGTCCACCCAAATGGCAAAGCCACCCGAGACTTCAGCTTAGGAGACCTGCTCTTCCCCTAAGTTTACAGCCAGGACCAGCTTGTTTACCCTGGTACCCCAAGACCCAGCATAGGGCTTGGCACCAGAAGGTGCTCAGTGCTCAAGAAGAAATGAAGTCAGGGCTATGCCTCCCTGGATCTTTGGATCCACCTTTGGGGCCAATCCTTGCCCCTCTCCACTGGGTCAGGGAAGCTAAAATCAATCTCTAGCGCAAAGGGATGGGGATTTGTAAGCACTGAATACCTACCACGGGCTGGGCTCTACACAATGCACTTTATGTGCTGAGCAGAGTATCTCCATTTTACTGGAACTGAGTTTGGGAGAAGCTAAGTGACTAATTCAATCTTACTGACAAATGGATAGCAAAGTCAAATTTGGACCCAGAACTAACAAACTCCCAAGCAGTGTTCTCAATTATGGCCCCGGGGGCAGAGATGAGGCGGTTCCAAGTGCTTGGGTCTTTTCTCTATGCTTCACTTTTCCCACATGGGAAGGCCTCATCCCAGTAGTGTGGATGGATGGGTCCTAGTAAAACAGGGCTCCATTCCTGGACCTTTCCTTGAACATAAGACATATGCTAGTTCTGAGAAATCTCAACACAAGTCCTGAACCCACTGGGGAGTCGAGAGTCTCAAAAAGGGCAGACTACTAGGGAGGGGGATGTTTCCCTGCAGCCTTCAAGCCATTTCCATCACCCAGCTCACCTCTGGGTGGCTGCCAGCCACTAGGAGTGGGATAATGTTCATGCTTTGGGGGCTGTGGGATGCTGGTGGGGGGTAACAGGCGCTCCACAAAATGGTATTCATCCACAGACTCCACAAAGCTGCGATAATCAGGAGGTTCCTGGGTCTGGCTCTAAGGCAAGAAACAAAAACAAAAAACGCCCCCCCCCATCTCTTCATCAGCCCACCCACCTTAGAATAGGCAGAATTTTAAGTAGAAAAAAGGAAACATTACAGGCAAAGAGAATGGCATAAGTAAAAGGCCGGAGGTAGGCACCAGACTTAACTTTGCCAGAGTGCCAAGTACAGGTGGGAATGAAAAAGAAGTTCAGAATTCAGAAGGGCCTGCCTGTCTTAGGATTTTTGTGGGACTCAAATGAGAAGTGTGAGTATACATCTGAAAATCTGAGTAACTCTAAGTCTGACCAATATGGCATTTTTCAGTATTTTAAAGCTTCTACTGAGATATGCTAGTTTTGGATTAGGCACTTTCAGCAGTAGTGATAATTTCCCCCTCACAGTCATCAGATGTGACCTTCCCTTACCTGGAACGTTTCAGCCTCATATAGACACCACCAGGAACTGTAGTGAGTGCTTACAGGTATTGCTTTATTTAATTCTAACAATTCGACAAGTTAGGTATTTTATCACACCCCCCTCCTTTTTACATCCAAGAAAGATTAAGAAATTAATAAGCAATCTACCTAAGGTCACATTCTGCAGTCTGACCTCCCATACTTCTCCCAACTAATACCCTGGACTCCTGATAGGTCTCAGGGTTACAACGAGAATGAGAAGAAAGATAAAGTGGCCTGTCTATCATGAATGCTAGGTTCCCAGAAGTGTCGCCAATGACCTGGGGCCCCCCGCCCCCCCGCAACCATCTGAAAAGATTTCCCCTTCAAAAACCTAGGCAGCGAGATTCGATGTGCAGCCCCTCCCATTTCTGTCGAACCTGGGTTGTCCTCCAATCATATTCCAAGCCTCATAGTCCCAGGCCCGCTCCAGGCCCTCCCACTTTCCCTCTCAAATCTTGAATCTGAGCTCCAGAAAAGTGCCCCCTAAGTAAGGGACGCGGCTTTCATGGTAACAAGAAATAACACTGAGGTCACACCCAGCCCTCTGCCCTCAGCTCCAGGCTCAGCGCTCTCACCAGCCGCCGTAGCCCGCTGTCCGGCAGGACGCCGGTTCTCGAGCCCCGTAGCACAGCCCGGAATATGGTAGCTGCCATCTTGAACTGCTCCAGCACACTAGCTTTCTGCGAGCGCAACCCGCCTGGTCCCACCCCTTCCTGTTCGCACTGCCTGGGACCGAGAGGGCGCCTGCGTAAAGCATAAAGAGGCGGGGCCAGGGCGGCCGTAGGTAGCACAAAATTCCGAGGCCTTGGAGGTCGCTCAGTAGTGACGTAGCACGCCGCAGGCGGAGAGGACGTTTGCGCTCTCGTTCCTTCCTCTTTCTCGACTCCATCTTTGCGGTAGCGGCACTGGTGGCTACGGTTCAGGTAAGATATGGGCCATGGCTGGAGCCGGAGGGCTTAATAGCAGGCTGAGCTCGAGGTTGGAGGGCGTGTGAAGAATAGAGGAAGAAAGGCTGCTCTGTGGGCCGGTCCGGTCCCCATCGGACTTCTCTGGCAGGCTCGGCCTTACCCACGTGAGACTCCGAGACCACCTACAGTTGTCCCCGGCCCGCCACCCATTCCTGACCCCCTTTCTCCCAGAGTATTTCTTTTACAAGCCTGGTTGGTTGGTTTCTTTTCAGTCGCCAAAATGCAGCTCTTTGTCCGCGCCCAGGAGCTACACACTCTCGAGGTGACCGGCCAGGAGACGGTCGCCCAAATCAAGGTAAGGCTCTGTGATGCTCCCTATGGTCTGTTTTTTTCAACCTCTTTCTCCGTGGGAACGCTGATGAATCTTGTTTTTCCTTGAAGGCTCATGTAGCCTCGTTGGAGGGCATCGCTCCAGAAGATCAAGTCGTGCTTCTGGCAGGCACCCCCCTAGAGGATGAGGCTACTCTGGGCCAGTGTGGGGTGGAGGCTCTGAGCACTCTGGAAGTAGCCGGCCGCATGCTTGGAGGTGAGTTGGGGAGGACTATCCTTTGAACTGCTTATAAACTTATTAGTGTAGGGTGTGGAGTTAAGTGCCCTTACTCAGGGTGGTTCTTCCTGTTTACCTTACTCAGAAGAACTCTTGAGAGGTCCATGGGAAACCGAGCCAGAGTGTTGTTCTATTTCAGTTGCTTACTAGATAGACCCTTTCCTGTGTCCCAGTTTCCTCACTAAAGTCAGGAGGTCAGACCAGATCGCCAGTGCACTCTTTTGTTCTTGTTTCAAGTCAGAAGCTGGAAAATTCTGAAGTAGAACCCCAGAATGTGCCAGACTAGACATTCTTTGTCAGAGGTCAAATCTCTGCAACTTTGTTTTTATTCCCTGTTGGGCCCATCTTGCCTTTAAAGTTTGAGCTGAGGGGGAAAGGATTCTGCTAGGTAGGGCCATCTTGTTCTAATGGCTTGCTGTCCTTTTCCACTGCAGGTAAAGTCCATGGTTCCTTGGCCCGTGCTGGGAAAGTAAGAGGTCAGACTCCCAAGGTAAATGAGAGCATTAGTGGTGGTGTTTGGATTTTTTATTCCCTGGCACAGCTAAGCCAAAACCCTTGGCTCTTGCCCTGTTTGCTTTCTCCCTCCCTGGCAATAAGGCATGAAAGAGGCAATCTGGGTCTGATGTCCTTCCCTTTTCCCAGGTGGCCAAACAAGAGAAAAAGAAGAAGAAGACAGGCCGGGCCAAGAGACGTATGCAGTACAACCGGCGCTTTGTCAATGTTGTGCCCACCTTTGGCAAGAAGAAGGGCCCCAATGCCAACTCTTAAGTCCATTGTAATCCTGGCTTTCTCTAATAAAGCCACTTAGCCCAGTCATCTCATTGTTTCGTCTTCATTTACAGGACCTCAGGAGTGATAGGGCTTCTAGGGCTGGTGGTATGAACAGTGAGGCCTCAGTTTGGTTTCTTGGCAGTGTCCAGAGTCAGCAGCTCCTGGCAGGGGTGTGGGGGCGGGAGGTGGAAAGGTGATAACCTACACCAAAGAACTTCTTGTGCAAACTGGTAACCGCAGATGCCAGCTCTTCCGATGTAGAGTTGGGGAAAATTCCAATTCCAAATAACTTGATAATTATCCTCCAAATATTTCTTCTTTTTATTCTTATTCTTTTAAACAGAGAAGATAGTAGGAGTCATTGTAGTGGGAAAGGTTTTATGGAGGCAGCACTAAAGGGGAGGAGACTGTAGATAGGAGATCTATCAGGGAAAGCCAGTTTGGCCTTTCCCCGAGCTTGGGACCAGCTATGGCATTAGTGGAGTCCAGACCAGGAATCTGGTCTGCCACAGCTTTAGAAAGTATTGACCGATTACATTAGTACTGCAGTGATCTTGTTCTGATTGCCTGACTGGCCTTGCTAACCTAATCACAGGGAGGTTGGTCAGTTGCTTGTTTCAGTGTTCCCAGAAGTGGAGTTTTCTGTAGCTGATTGAAGTTCCCTCCTAGCAACACATGCATACCTATTCATTTTGCTAAAGTTTTTGAAACTGCTGGTTCTTGGAATGGAGCATAGTATGGGGTAAAGACCTTGGGCTCTAGACTTGGACAGACTTGAGTTTGGATCCTTGCTCCCATTTATTTGCTGGCTGTCTGACCTTGAGCTAACTAATCTGCCATCATCTCTTGAGAGTTGCTGTGAGGATTAAAGGATGTAAAGTGCTTAGATCAGCACCTGCCATATAGAAAGTGCACAAATATATTGGCTATTTTTGTCTTCTGTAGTGATCTTTCCTGAAAGATACTTGCCCCTATCCCTTTTATGAGTTTAGATTCTTGTGGAGAAAGCAAGTTAACTAAATATTTACAAGTGCTATAGCCTTGAAGTAAGCAGGGTGCTGCAATGAAAGGGGGCGGGGATGGAGAGTGATACTCGGAGTATCCTAGGGAAGGTCTCTGAAGATGGGATGAAACAGGAGCCCATCAAGTGGTGAGATGGTGGAAGAGTTCCAGCCAAGAGGACTGTATGCAAAGGTATGTGGCAGATCCTACAGGGTCTTGTCAGACATGGAGGGAAGTTGGAGTCCAAGTGCAATGTAGGGTCACCAAGTTCCAGGAAGGGTTTTAAGCAGGGCCTGATGTGATCTAACGTATGACCTAATATTTTCTCTGGCTGACTCCTGGAGGGCTGGCAAGAAAACTAGAAAACCAGTTAAGGTGAGAAACAAATAGTTCAGACCATTACTGATGGAGGGGATGCGAAAATGAGAAGGTTCATCAAATCCATCCACGTCTTGGTAGGGAATATGTGATCCACATTGAGATAAAGACAAGGTATTTTGAAGGCAGAACTGACCAGAGGTTGGACTGGATATGAATGAGGTGAGGAACCAACGAACCATATCTTCCTTTCAGGGGTAAGCCATGGATCAAGGCTTCACAGCGTTTGGCACAGTTTGTGGGTGGATCATCACCTCCACTCTACCACAGACTGGAAGCTCTATTAGGACAGATTCCCCATCTCTGCTTTTCAGTGTATTTTCGGTGCCTAGTGTAGCATTTGAACTTTAAAGTTGGGTGGGGACATCAAGCAGGAACTCGGATTTGTGAATTTTGCTTTCTTCTGAAAAGGGGAAATGCCAACACACACCCAGTGTAGGCTAGGTACCCAACTCGGCCTTCCTTCCACTCTTCCATTTGTGTCCCCTGGTCAAATTGCTGCCGCTCCAGCGCAGGGATGCCTTCTCTCATTTGGGCTTGGCAGTGGCCCAGAGTAGGTGCTTTACAATGATTGATTTCCACCACAGTACTTTATAGTGCGAAAAAGGCAGCCACTAGAGGGCGAGCTGGACGGACGGCAACTCACTTTCCCTATCTCTCGCACCGCGCGGGGCGGGGCTCCGCCAGAGCCCAGGACCCAGCACATACGTCACCACCGGCTCCTGCGCCTGCCCAAGGGAGGCCCGAGAAGGGCGGGGCTTGGCGTCCGAGTACGGCCGGAAAGTGCCGAGAGTCTTCGGAGAGCGTTGACTAAGCGCTAGGTAGGCCCCAAAGAGGCGGAAGTAGCCAAGAAGCGCCGGAAGTGTTGGACTTACGGCGGGTGTGCGTTCGCGGAGGGCGTGCGGCGTGCCGCGTTCGGCGCCAGTTGCCATGGAGCCGGCCGGGCCGTGTGGTTTCTGCCCGGTGGGGGACACCCAGCCAGCACGCTACACCTGCCCTCGCTGTAATGTGCCCTACTGCTCGCTGCGCTGCTACCGGGCTCATGGCACCTGCGCCGAAGACTTCTACCGTGACCAGGTACTGGGAGAGCTGCGTGGCCGCAGCGCCTCGCCCAGCCGCCTGGCCAGCGCCTACGCCGGCTGCGTCAACAACGCGAGACCGAGGACGACCCCGAAGACGCGGGCCTCAGGCCTAGCCCGGTGCCCGGCGCCCTCTCAGGACTCTGGGAGCGGC